AAAGATAATTAAATGATAAATAGTTTCATTATTTAAAGTTGTTGGTGAGATGTGGTACAACCAACTAAATTCTTCCTGAATAAGTAAAATAAGAAATTCAAGGTAGAACCTTGTGTATAATGATAATATACAAAATGATCATCTCGACCAAATAGATTATGTGGTGAACACTATGTAAAATATTAAATAAGTTAGCTCATGCTTATAGACGGAGTAAGGATGAAACTTTTGGTTAAATACCAAAGAGTATTATCTCGACTTGTAGATCGAGCATCTCCTAGAAGGAATATTTTTGACCCAACCAATTTACTTGAATCTCTTTTAGAGATGTAAAATTGTAACACCAATGAGTGTCAAATATTTGACAGTTGACAAAGATCCAAAGAAACAAATGAGGATATTATAGGACATGGAGTTCAAATGGACTTGAAGTCCACAAACGACATGAAGTTTATTTATCAAGCGCAATTGTGCTGAACTTTTATCTCGCAAACTGCATCAGGCCTGATACTGCATTTGTGATGAATTTGCTAGCAAGATTTACTAAATCTCTCCTTAGAGAGATATCGTGATAAATATTGAGAATATCTCATTATTCTTCATGTATGTTGAGTTATCTTTGGACTTGATATATGATATTGGTGGATAATGACATCAATTGTATAATTGATCCCGGAAGTATGGGTCCTCAATTGGTTATATACCTCTCAAATGGTATTAACTCTTTACCATTGGTTATTGAAATTTCTTCATATTTATCCTGAAGATAACTTAGTTTGTGTTACACAAATAAATTATATAAATACATTCGATGATATTTTTGAATCTATATCAACTCCCGAAGAGCAAAAAATGACGATTTTATGTTAGAAACTTTTACATTGAGGGGGAGCAACATATAATTATGAATGAAACTAAACAGGTTGCTCCTTCAGGGAGAGCGATAAATAAATCTCGAAGATTGAACCCGGAAGGTTAATTATAATCCTGAAGATTAGGCCCTGTTGGCCGGTGTTGTACTCTTTTTCCCTTGACTAAGTTTTTTCCCATTGGGTTTTACTTAGTAAGGTTTTTAACGAGGCAACAAGTGTAACACATAAATTTGCATGTGTCATGTACTCTTTTCCTCGACTATTTTTTCCCACTGGGTTTTTGTAGCGTGGTTTTTAACGAGGCATGGACATGATGCGGTAATGTCCAAGGGGGAGTGTTGTAAATATTAAGTTGTGGACATTACCTAGATACAGGATTTGTAGGCATGGGCCAGGAGCCTATTAGGTATTTACTCATGTACATTATATTCCCTTATATATAGGGCTCAAGTGAATGAATAAGATGATAGTTTTAACGGCGTATCTCTTCTCTCTTATTCTCTTTTTCTTCTACTGTTTCTATCTTTGCCTATTTTACACATAGATTTTACATATTGTCAATCTATATTACAACAACAAGCATATTCTTTTCTAACTTCATTAGTTTATTAAATAATCTCTACAAATTACATTTTAATACATTATGCTTGCTAAAATTTACATATTTATGTATATATATTAATTATTGATTAATAAGATTAATTAATAAATTAAAATTAAAATGAAAAAATTACACACTATATCATAAAACCACGTGGATTTCATCACAAACATTAATTTTTTTTTAAAAAAAATATATCAACACAAACATTAAATCGTCTATTTTACAATCCTTTTTTAGTTTTTATTTTTATGTTCTGTATTAACTATTGCGATTGTAGTATGTGTGAGCTTTAAGATGGGTTTTTTTAGTTTATTTTTATGTTGTGATTTTAATTTTAGTGTTTGTACCGTTAATTTTATGTGAGTTGAATGTTTATCTTTATTTTGTAATTTTAACTTATTTGTTTGAATTATTTATTTAAGTGAATTTAAGTACTAATTAATATTCTATCATATTAATTAATAAAAGTATTCAATTTTTCATTACACTACTTAAAGTTATACCATACACTAATTAAAATAATTAAGTTTAAAATATTTATAAAACTATTTTAATCCAACTCATAAACTAATTAATACAATTAGTCGAATTTTAGTTAAAAAAAGCCCAACCACAATACATTATTTAGGCCCAAAATACAAACCCAAATTTATTTTTAAACCAAAAAAAAAAACCTAGCGTTTGTGAACAGTGGAACGGTGTGGCAACCGTTCCACAAAAACAATTCTGCCGTTTCCTCCAAAGCTAGAGGGATGATTGGAGATGATTCTCCTCCAACTCACCCGTTTCCTGCTTGTTTGAAGGGTGAGTTGGAGATGCTCTTAGTGGGTATATCAATATGATATTTTAAATAAAATAATTAAAGTTAATTGATGTAAAAGTATGAGGGAGATGATTTGAAGTGATGGTTAGTTAAAATTATACGACTGGATGAATAATAAATTAAGGGTGATGTGTTGTGTAAAAATGATTGACTGATATTATTTACTTATATTGATAATAATAATGATAATAGTAGGGTTAAGTTAAAAAAATAGGTAAATTAAAAATATCGGGATTTTTTTGAAAATATTTGTATCCAAGCATCCTCTAAGAATCTTTACATGAATACACCCTAAAAATTCATTCTTCCTTAAATTATTAGTAATATAAGGTACTATTATCCCCAAAAATGAAAACGCATAAAAAGAAAAGCCAAAATAGTCACACCTAATAGCATTTCATTATTTATGATTATGTGGCATCACAAAGAGGCATATGATAAACACGCTCGGTTGTATAGCTCATACGGATGTAAATGAGTCGGGTTGGGTATGAGTTTTGGAAAATCCGAACTCGACCCACATATAATTTACTTTATCCAAACTCGACTCGTTACCCGGCTAGTGATCTTCGAGTTTGGGTTGGATTTTACCTGACAGGTTAGTGAATTTTCATCGGGTAAACGGGTAACCCGAGTCTTAAATTTGGATTTTACTCGAACCATGTCGTTTCAAATGAAAAATAAAATAAAATAATTTCACAATTAATTATAATGTAAGAAATAACTTATGAACTATGTTTGACAATCAGAAACTATAAAAAAGTTATATTATTTTTTGAATAAATAATGATATATGATTATTTATCTTTTATAGTCTATTTAATATTATGACATTTAAAATTAAGTATTTAATTTTTTTATTGTACAATTAACAATACTGATAATAAAATTATAAAACATAAAATAAATTTAATTATTAATCAAAATTATAATAGAAAATTTAATTTTTAAAAATAACACATGACTATTTTTTTATTTAATATAAGTTATAAATATATTATATATGTTTGAGTTCACATGCGAATAATTTTCAATGAAAGAAATAAAAATAAATGGTGATCATTAGATCGAATGATCTTATGACTACTAAGAAGTCAAAACTACACCTTTCATTAAGTGTATTGTAGTAATTTTTACACCACACATAAAGAGGTGGACCCCACCCCACATTAATAATAAAAAAATCTGCCAACTATTAATCTATATATATATATAATTACTGGCTAATGAGCATTTAATAAAACCTATTAAATTATACCTAGGTGGCAATATAATTTTTTCCCTCCAAAAACCGTT